TATTCTATTCTATTCTATTCTATTCTATTCTATTCTATTCTATTCTAATTCCATTCTATTCCATTCCATTCCATTCCATTCTTATTCCTATTCTAAATTCTAAATTCTGTTTGCACCATGAGCTGAAACAAAAGTTAAAAAGGTGTTAGTTCTGACAAAGGAGTGGTGCCGTGGCCTAGAGGTGGAGCTCTCAGGAGGGTGTGAGTTCGATCCTAGCTAGAGGCAGATATTTCTCTCTCTGGGCACACTGAGACTATATCTGCTGAACAAAACTCCGCATTGGCAACAGGAAGGGCATCCGACCATTAAAACACTCTGCTAGCTCCATTCAGTTGCCCAGACTCCACCCTGCAAGGGATTATGGGGTTGTTAAAAGATGATGAATGATGATGATGTTAGTTCTGACGAATTTGGCCATGGGTTTCTGAGTTCTGAAAACCTTTGGGAGGAGGTACGGAGGAAATTATATATATCTAGAAAACACGCGAATCCAAAGCAGATTCCTTGCAGGGTTTTTTGTTTTTTTTTACCTTGCATTCAAACTCCATATTTTGACTTAAGTGAATCAATTCTTCGGTGCTCTTCATACGCTGGACATTTGCATTGCAATCTTTGATGAGCTGCAGAGAGGAAAATGCCATCAGAGTAGAGAAAAGGGGGAAGGGGGAAAGATCATTTGAAAAACCACCATTTTTTTTTACTGTGAAAGAACTGGATTTAAAAGAGATTGCATCTTCCTTTAACGTGCAGAGGGAAATTCTGTGTTATTATTTTTAGGAGGTTCGTGTGAGCATGGATTATCCACGTCACAGAACAGCAGTCCCATGTACTCTTTAGAGGCGTTCTTGTATATATATATCATGTCATGTTAATTTTGGTTTCTGAAGGGTGAATTTTAACAGTCGGGGAAACTGTTCAAGTCTCTTGGATTTTGAGTCCCACAATTGTTGGGCCCTTCAAAGCAAGCAGTATCTAATTTCTTTTCTTTTTTTTCTGTTTGGCAATATCTTTTTAAGGATTACACTAAACAGATAAATAGATAGAATTTTCTCCTACTACATTTCTTTAAAAAAAAAAAAGATTGAAAAATTTGCAGAGCTACCCAACTTTAAAAAATACCAAAGTTTCGTGTTCTGTGTTGGTTTATTCAAATAATAATTAAGTATATTTGCATTCAGGGGCAAACTAAATGCTTTCCTTTCCATTCCTACTCTACGAAAGGGTTGCTCAGGCTATTATCATGCCTCTGTATTCCAAAAACGGAAGTAAACTCCTTGGAATATTTCAGCTTCTGAAATGAAAGGAGATTTTTCTGTGAGGAGAGGAGAGACAATGGATGCCTGAAGAACAGATCTGGAGTGACTTCTACCTTCTCAAGAGCGTCGTATGCCTGTGTGGCCTGGACTTCTTCATCAGCCCCTGGTGGAATTCTTTTCAGGATGTTCTGCAGAAGGAAAGATTGATCGATTGATTGATTTCCTGACTTTATTATTTTTACAAATAAATCAAGGTGGCGAACATATCCAACATACCTTCCTCCTCTTACTTTCCCCAAAACAACAACCCTGTAACATGAGTTGGGCTGAGGCAGAAGGACTGGACCAAGATCACCCAACTGGCTTTCATGTCTGAGGTGGGACTAGAATTCACTGTCTCCTGGTAACTGGCCCAAAGTCACCCAGCTGGCATGAAAGCCTAAGGTGGGACTAGAACTCACAGTCTCCCACTCTCTACTCTCTGGCCTGGTGCCTTAACCACTAGGCCAAACTGGTTCTCTGTGAAAAGCTGGAAAGCGTCTATATTTTCTAATCCTTTTTTGGGGGGGGCGGGGGGGGGACTAGTCATCAGTTTTGAACTCCAACTAATCTCACGGCAGCCACACCTTCTCGCCAGCATCTTGAGAACAGGAAATGGGCAACCCCATCATTTTTATCTAGAGATCTTTGCTAGAGAACATGGTAAACCATCTCTTCTCTTTTTTCTCCCTTGGAATTTATCCCGAGAATCGGAGTAAGAGGAAAACAGAACTGAGCCGGGGTTTTTATAGAACAAGGGCCTTCAAACTTGACAGCTTGAAGACTTGTGGACTTCCACTCCCAGAATTCCTGAGCTAACATGACTGGAGGAGGAATTCTGGGAGTTGAAGTCCACAAGTCTTCAAGCTGTCAAGTTTGAAGACCCCTGTTATAGACGAAATCAAGGAGCTTGTTCCTGTCAGTCCACCAAAAACAGCTGCAAAAGAGAAGAGCGGAGGCCAAACAACCCCATTCAATCCGTGTACAGGTAGTCCTCGACCTATGACAATTGAGCCCCAAATTTACATTGCTACGTGAGAAATTCGTTTTGCCCCATTTTGCAAATTTCCTCCCCGCATTTGTTAAGTGAATCACCGCTGTTGTTAAATGAGTAACCCAGTTGTTAAGTGAACCAGATGTCAGGATTCCGGTAGTTACTCCAATTAAATCATGAGCCTGGGCGTAGACAACTCTGAGATACGTAATTCACTGTCACTCTTGATCCTGCTTTCCCCCCCACCCTTCTAGGTGTATCATCCAATGAAAAACATCCATAGCCAAGAGTCATCAATCATGCTCTCCAATTAGATTCCTGCACGTGGCAGACGCTTCAGTCATCTAATCAGTGTTTGAAGAAAATATGAAAGGAATGTACTTTCGATTCCACACTGCCGCCTGCTCTTTGAAACTCCCCCTCCCCTTCTTTCTGTTGTCAACTATAAAACATGTATACAAAATGTTTTATGAGTTAACATCAGGCTTTCCCTGTTGACTAGCTGGTCAGAAGGTTGCAAAAGGGGATCAGGTGAACCCCGGGATACTGCAACCATCGTAAATGGGAGTCAGTGGTCAAGCATCCAAATATAAATCATGTGACCTTGGGGGATGCTGCAATGGTCAAAAGTTTGAAAAATGGTGCTAAGCCACTTTCTTCAGTGCCATCCTAACACTGAACGATGAATCAACGAACTGTTGTTAAGGTGTAAGTTGAGGACTATCTGTAGTAATTTTGATTTTCATTTTTTTAAAAAAAAGTTAAAATGCAAAATTTCCCTCCCACCCCTAAAAAGGGGTTTTTACAAAACCATCAACTACAAAAAACAAACTAGACATTCAAAAGGTGCGTTAAAAAGGGACACAAACATATATACACATATTATGCTCCCAGTTGAATATTGATAAATACATTGCAACAATATTAGTTTCCCAACCCATGAAAAACAGGCCCATTTTTTTAAAAAAACTTCTAATTCTTTCTCCAAATTATGAACTTGTCATGTATCGACTATATTAATGACAAAACAAGTAGAATGAAAAAAAAAAAGATTAAAATTGCTGCAACGGTCATACCTGTGAAAAATGGTCATAAGTCACTTTTTTCCGTGTCATTGTAACTTCAAACAGTTGTAAGTAAACTGTTGTAAGTTGAGGACTACCTGTACAGGTATTTCTAGACTTATGACCGGTTGCTTAGCTTTTGAAGTTACAATGCCCCCACAAAAGTACTTACAACCCAGTAATGAAGTCCCAGTAGCCACTCCCTCAGTCACATGACTTACACTTTGGTTGCTTGGCAACTGGCTCACATTTACGGCCCGTTGCAGCTTCCCAATATCGAGGGTCCACAATTTATGACGTTTTTGTCATTTATTTCTTGGTTTCAGCAAAAACGCCCCATTCTGAACAATGACTATTGTATAGGCCACTACCACAGAAAAGGTCACAAAATCAGGACCATCGTGTGTTGGCTCACTTTATGACCATCATGACTTAAGACAGTAATGGGCAGGGCCCATTACCGTTGTAAGTTGAAGATTACCTGTATATCAAGAGCAAATGAGATTTAAATCATAGAACACCGCTAGATACGGCCTGAGATGTGGTCAGATATGGCCGGTGGGGCTGCCGTAGAAATGTTGAGGAGCCAGCCCCTACTGTCTCAGCCAAGGCCCACTCCCAGGAAGCAGCTCCTTGGTCTTGCCCAGCCTCACCTTAAGCTACCTGGCCTCACCATGCCACACCTTCACCTCGCCCGGCATCTCCCCACCCCACCTGGCAGCAGCCTCAATGAGGAGGACCCCAGTCTCGTCTCGCCCTGCTATGCGTCTCCCGTCCTCGCAGCCTTGAGGCTCAAGAAACTGGACAAATATGCTCCCTGTATCGGATGCTACATTCAGGTCACTGGCTGAACTGTGGCCAGGTGAAATCTTCCTACCTGGAGAAGGAGCTTCAGTCGGGTGATACGCTGGAATGGGAGAATGAGGAAGGATTTGAGGGAGAGGCGCTGGCACACTGGATCGCTTTCCAGTTTCTCCAAGACCTGCTGGAAAGCAGGGACTCCGTTCCTAGGCGGGAGAAGAAAAAGGCAGACATGACACTTTGTGAAGTAAAGGTGGGAGACTGGGATCTAAAAGAAAAACATGATATCCAACGCTCAACAAGACACAACACATTTTCTAAGAACTGCTATACACGGTGCTTCCTGCCCTCTTGACTGACCCATTTAAGGCAAGGGTGTCAAACTCGATTTCAAGGAGAGCTGCATCAGGGTTGTGTTTGATCTCGGGGGATCGGGGTGTGTATGGCCAGGGTGGGCATGGCCAACTATCTGTCTTTGGCTGTGACGGCCTCCTGAAGCCCTCTGCCAGCGAAAACAGAGCTCAGGAGGGCCACGCGCTGTTCTGACCTAGGCTTCCTTAGAAAGCATCAAACACAATCTTAGTTCCGGCAAAACCTCTTTTATTCCCACAGCTGTGAATTATGTTCATTCTCAGCCTGCAAGGCTTTACAAACAGTCTTTCAGGGGAATGTTGATAAACACCCACCTTATCACACTTGGAATGCTGCCAGAGAACTAATTGCCAAATGCAGGGCAAGGCCAAACTTGACACAGAGTCAAACAGAACTTTTCAAAGCTTGAATCAACCAGACAAACGAATTGCTTCCTGCAAAAGCTCGTGTCCCGTTCGCTCCTCTTTTATGTCCTATGGGAGGGGCCAATCATCTCCAAGGTACGGCCTTACTCCTGAGTCGACCCTGCTTTCTCAATTGTTCTTGTCTTCTGTAGCCCTGCACATGTGCAGGCTGGGAACCAGTTCCAGAAGCTCCCCCGCCTCACTGCTGTCTGAACCCGAAGGCAGCTGATGACTGTCAACCTGCCCTGGCCCCATCTCTGCCTCTGATGCAGAGCCCTCGTCCAAGCCCTCCTCAGCCTCCAAGACTGGCCCAGGTTCCTCCCCAACCTCCTCTCTACTGTCCGACTCTGCTGCCAGGTCCGCCAGCCGCTGGCGGGCCACAACATGTGCGACACCCCCCCCCCCAGAGCTCCGTTTTCACTGGCAGAGAGCTGCAGGCCATTGCAGACAAAAATGAAGCTCGGGAGGGCTGCAGGCAGCCCTCCCGAGCTCAGTTTTCATTGTCAGAGGCACTGTGGGCTGGTAGAGAGAGAGAGAGGGAGGGAGAGAGAAATAGGTCAAGCATTCTGGAAGGCATCTTCAGGTCCTTACATGAGTCTCTGGAAGGTCTGGTCCTGGTAGGTCTGGTTGGTCACGTACGGCAAGTAAACCCTGCGAAATTCGGGGGCGTTTCTGAGTGCCACGTCACAGACGTTGAAGGTGAACATGTTCTCCTCAAGTTTCTCTTCCAGTTCAAAGAGGAAACTGCAGGCACCATGGAAGAAAAGCAGAACATCATTGTCACTCCTACCCAGGGGTGGGATTCAAATTTTTTAACAACCAGTTCTCTGGGCGTGGCTTAGGTGGTGGACATGGCTTGGTGGTCATGTTATTGGCTGGGCGTGGCCAACTCAACATCACTCACATCGAGGCACGCATCTCCTCGCCTGGCCTCTCATGACTGTGGGGATGCTGCAACAGTTGTAAGTGTTAAAAATGGTCATGTCACTTTTTTCAGTGCCATTGTAACTTTGAATGGTCACTCCACACAAGCAAAGTACCAGGAAAGGAGGGGGGAAAAAACTCCAGAGAAGTTCCTGAGACAGGAAGTCTAGTCCTGCCAAGAATGTAATAAAGGTTAACGGAGAGGCAGTTTCTGTAAGCAACACCAGAATGTTTCCTTCCTGCCTTCCTTACAGGATTAGGCCAGTAATTTCTTCTAACAACCGGTTCTCTGAACTGCTTAGAATGTTAACAACAAGTTCTAGCGAATAGGTGCACACCTGTATAATCCCACCCCTGCTCCTACCATTATTTACCGACTCCTAAAACAATTGACCAATTGTTGCATGGGGGGGAACAATGTTGTTAATTTAGGCATAGGTAGCGATGGTAGATTCTATTCTTTTTAATTCTAAGGGGGAAAAACACCCATCTGTCCCACAGCCTTATTTAAATGAATGATATGTATATTTCATATCAAAGGTTTGCAGCGTGTAAGACTATACTGTTAAGGTTTTCCTTCATGTTTGTGATGATGGGAAGGAGAGAAATCTAGGTTCTTATTAAATAAGTGGCTATATGCATCACTACTTAGAATAATAGGGTTGGAAGGGACCCTGGTGCTCTTCTACTCCAACCCCCTCCTCAAGCAAGAAGATCTATATCAGGGGTGTTAAACTCAAGGCCCACTGGCCAGATCCAGCCAACAGCGTGCTTAAATCTGAGCCGCAGGGGAAATAGCCCGCGGTGCCTCTGCTGGCCAAAACAGTATGGGGGGGGGGCACATGACACCCCCACCCCATTTTGGCTGAGGGGTGCTGCAGGAGGTGTCCATCTTGTCTCCCCACCCTCCAGTTTGATACCCTTGCCCTATATCATGTTAGAGCAGGCGTCTCCAAACTTGGCAACTTTTAAGACTTGTGGACTTCAACTCCCAGAATTGCCCAGCCAGCATGACTAGCTGAGGAATTCTGGGAGTTGAAGCCCACAAATTCTTAAAGTTGCTAAGATTGGAGTCCCCTGTTTTAGACAAATGGCTGTCCAGTCTCTTCTTTAAAAACCTCCAGTGATGGAGCACTCACAATTTCCAGAGCTGAACCAGTCTACTGATTCAGTGGTGCGTTTCAAATATTTTGACCACTGGTTTAGTGGGTGTGGCTTGGTGGGCGTGCTTTGCATGCGCGCGCACACTTTGCATACATGCGTGCCAAATGCACATTTTGCGCAGGCACAGAGGTGTTTTGAGCCACCTCCTGCAATCCTGCACTCTCCCTGTGTTGTGGTTCGCTGGCAGCAGGTGCAGACGGCTGAGGTCTCGGAGAGCGAGGACTCAGATGAGGGGCCTGCGTGTGATGCAGGGATGGGGCCAGGACCATCAGGGAATTGAGTGCTGCCTTCGGAGATTGTGGAGGCTGGCAGCAGTAATGAGGAGGTCCCCGAGGAGCCTGGGCCCAGTGCGCATGTGCGCAGGGCTGCTCGAAGGAAAGAGCAGCTGCAGCAGCACGGGCGACTCAGGGGTAAGGCTGCAAAGTAATGTCCCCTCCCTTAAGAGATAAAAGCCAGCTGAGAAACTGCAGTACTTTGCAGGAAGCAAAGAAGTTCTTGCACTCCAAGCCTTGTGGAAGTTCGGACTAGGATGTTTGGAATATTTCTTGGCAACTTAAATCTAGTGCTTTTGGCAGCCTTGCACAACCTGGGCAAGGCTCGTTCTTATCAGAGACAATTAGTTTTAATAGCCTTTTAACCGCGAGTTAATGGAATTCGCAGAGAAGCATTAAAAGGTTTTGCTTTTATCTCTGCTTTTATCTCTGTTTGTTTACTTGGAACAAGGTTTGGGTCAGAACAGTCTGATGCCTCAGCAGCTGCCGCACAGCAATTGCTGTGCCACGCAAAGCAGTTGCGCTTCAAAAGCAAGACATAAAGATTAGTATGGGAGCCCTGGTGGGCGGGTGGGCACAACAGCAGAGTGTTGGAGATAATCGGTTCAGTCTCCACTGCTCATCGCCGTCACTGGCTCGGCCGAACCAGGCCGAACCGGTAGAATACCACTACACTGAGAGGAAATTTCTCCTTAATTCTAGGTAGGATTGGTAATCTTCTTCTTGTCCTGCCCTCTCTATTCAGTGTTATCAGTGGTCGGCTTTTGAGAATGGAAGGAACGCAGGACTCACTTGGCACTAACGTCACGGACATCCTGAAGACGGGAAAAAAGCCACTGTTTGTCCTGCGTGGTTAAAACCCCCTGAAGTTCCTGGGAACGTTGGAAGTGATCCACGGCTACATTCAAGCTCCGCAAGTAAGAAGCTTCGGATGCAATCAGTTCAAACTTGGCCTGTTTGAAGAAGAGAAAAACGGGCATATCCCCAGGGCACAATTAGATTCCCTTCCAAACGAAACATCAGGAAACTGCCCAAATTTGCTGCCTCCTGACAGAGAAGAAACCAGCATTTCATTTCTGACCTCCAAGTTTGAAGACCCCTGCGTCTAAGCGCTACTGCTATTCATTGCTGCATCCCACCTGGTGCTCGTATAGCCCTCTAGGTCTGACGATGGCTCCTTGTCCTTTACCTCTTGCAGCTTCTGCTCCTCGCGGGTCATGCTCAGCAGCATGGTGCTCCCTCGAACCATGGGGATGTCCTGCCACAGGGAGGAGCCCGACGAGACGGATAGGCGGTGCAGGTAAGAGTCCTGAGAGAT